CCCCTTCCCACGCGCTCTCAACCAGCCTCGCTCCCCTCACGCGCGGCCCTGCCATGCGCTGGTCCCTCCGCGGGGATCACCTCCTCTGAGACCCAGGCAGAGGCGCTCGGCTCGTCCCCACTGTGCCGACACCAGAGGCTCCATGCAGCCTCCGGGACGCTGGTTTAAAACCTCCCGCGTGTAACTGTCTGTCTAGACACCTGTCGCTTTAGGAGGCTGGCTGTAAGGGCCTCTCCCCAGGACCCTGGCACTTACAATGACACTCAACGTCTCCTGACAGGAGAGGTGCATGGGGCAGAAGCCGAGCACTCTTCGACTTGAGTTGGGGTACCTTAGACTCGCATCTCAAGGTGTTCTCTGGCTGCACCCCCAGTGTAGGACCTGGTGTCAGAATATCAACTCTAATAATTTGGCCAAATCTCCTGGCATCTGGCACCCCGACCTTGCAAGATTTGTCCTCATCCCGTGGGGTTCACGGAACATCTCTGTGTAGGGATCCCACCAAGCTCGCCACGTTCAAGGTACCTCGGCCCCGCCAAGCGACCCTGGCCAGCAGCTCCAAAGCACCTGGCCGCGGCTCGGGGGACCTTCCTGGGACAGCGGGCGAGGCTGCCCTGGCCGCCCGGCCCTCGCAGTTCTCCTGGACTCTCGATTATCTCTTCGTTTTCCCGCAGCCTCATTATCACTCATTTGGTGCTTCAGACCAGCCGTCCCCAACCTGTGTGGCCCCAGGGACCGGTGCTCCTGTGAGACTCTAACGCCTGACCATCTGAGGCGGAGCTGAGGCGGTGATGCCGGCGCTGGGGAGCGGCTGCAGATACAGATGCAGCTTCACTCACTCATCCAGTACCAGTACCGGTCCATGGCCCGGGGGGTGGGGACCCTGCTCTAGACCAACCTGACATACTTCCGAACCCTTTCAGGGTTCATGCCCTGGACAGTCCTGCCTCCTTCTACCACAGGTCCCATGGAGGCAAATTCTGCATGAGAGCACGTGGTAGGTTAGATGAAGCTCTGAAGTCCAGCCCCTTCCATCGCGAAAGGTGTGTTCACATTTGAGGAACATGAGGCTAAAAAAAATTCACCTTCTACGATAGAGTTCTAAGCACTAGCAACTGAGAGGTTGGGGCGGGGGGCGGAGGGCACCAGCGTGCCATCGTTCAGGCGGGCTCGCCACAAGCAGTGACATCGAGCCAGGCCAGGGCCCGATGTGACAGATGAGTCCAGCCCCCATGTGGCCAGTGCCCCGGCCAGGAGGCGGTGATGGTGAGAACGGAAGGAGGCTCTCCGATGAAGGACAATGTGACGTGTGGAGTCCCCACTTATCGGTGGTGTCCCTAATCAAACACTGGGAACAGTGGTCAGGAGGGAAAGACCGCCTCACTAAGAATGCCCGTGGCTTCTGTAACAGGCTCAGTGCAGGTCTTCACGCCTTCAGAGCTCAGCGATGTCCGAGCCTCAAAGTCAAAAAGAAGCCTGAGTCGTGAAGCTGCTGACGTCTGGACCCTGGTGGAGTCGCCTGGACGGCGTTACCATGGCAGCAGAGCGCAGGGGAGGGCGG